GCGATAAATGAAGTTTCTCTCTTGTTCATCAAGTTCTATTTCAGCTTTCAATTCTCGCCTGAAGCATTATTTCCTAGCCGATAAGAGGGAATATGAAATGGATAAGTAGGGATCAACAAACACCAAAACGTGTTTGATTCCAAAAGTTTTTTAGCCCTTTACCAAATTAAAAAGAAATATTTTAAAAATAATAGACAAGATTTTCTTTTTTCTTTTCGGATTTTCGACAATAAAAATTATCGCATGCCGCCCTAATGTCTAATAATTATTGTTTTACGTTTCATTAATTAAATAATAATTAATTGCTGATTTATTGCCACTCCAGTACTACGATTTTAATAAAGTACTAAAAAGGTAGTAAGGGGTACCAAAAGATTCCCTTTTCTACTAACCTCAAATACATGACCGTAGTATGAGGGTCAACAAATAGTACAAAAACAGCTTCTGATGTCACCTTGTTTTTATTTCACCATGATCTACCTCAGCTGCTGTTAGCAAAAGTATATCATTTACACCCTTCATTTATTGTTTATGTTAACAGTAGTTACTGGAATACTTTTTCATTAATTATGGTACTTAAACTTGCAAACTGATTAAGTACAAAATATTATTAATTAACATCAATATTCACTATAAATTACATACATATTTGTACATTTGACTACAAATCAATCTTCATTTCACCATCGTATCTACTCATCAATCGCCTTGGCCACGTTATCAATGCCATCCTTTTCGTTTTTTTCTGGTGGCGTCAACGGCTCACTTTCGCTATTCGACGCTACCGAGTTCGGTTTGTACCGATAAGCCACAAACATGAAAACAATCATATCAATAAACATAAGGCCGGCAAAGAGGAAGAACTCATACGCTTGTGAATCGAAGAGCGATAGTTCGGCGATAATTATGACAATTACATTTCCGAAAGCCATTGTGAGTAGCCAACAAGCTGTCAGTACTGATTTCATTGTCCGTGGCGCCTGCGCGTATGAAAACTCCAGACCAGTCACGGAGAACATCACCTCAGCGAGTGTTATAATAACGTATTGCGGAATCAACCAGAATATGGACATAGAATTCGGCTCCGTTACAACTATGACATTATTGCGGTATTGGCCTGATGAATCTTCGTTTATTAAAATCGTGTAAATGCCACCAACTTTGAGATATGTACTGACAATCTCCACATTATCAACTAATATTTGATAGGTGCCCGACTTTAGTTCCGTTATGTTGCCCAAGTTGGCTGGCTCGGT